CGCTCAAACATAACGTATTTTGATTCGAACGGACAAGGAACTTCTGGTTTCAGGACTCGGTCCCTGCAATGTACACCGAGAGCAGCAACTGACAGCAGCAGCAGCAGCAGGAGCTCTAGAGGAGCCCAGCTGATCACCTCTGGAGCAAATGGGCTTGTTGCGGCGGCAAATCCAGCACCGATAGCTTCAGCCACAGCAGAAACATTCGCGGCAGCAGGGGCAGCAGCAGAAAATATTTCGAATAAGCAGCAAGATAGAGTCGTTGTGCGTCTTTCTCTTGGGTCGTTCGCGGGCTCTTCCCTTTCGAAAAGCCCACGTGCCGCCTCTGCCGAGGCTCAGGACCCCGTGAGACAGGAGGAGCTGCAGCGGAAGCAATTCCAAAAGCAGCCGGCGCCGCAGCAACAGACAGAGCCCAGGAGAAGGAACTCAATTGCGCAATCTCTCAAAGCCCGAGCAGATGCTTATCGCGGTCAACAGCAACAGCAACAGCAAGATGGAGTCCCCCTAACTCCCAAGGGTAGCATATTCAGGACAGCGATTTCGCAGGGCTCTGGCAGCCCAACTCTCAGCAGTTTTGTGAGCAACAATAGCAGCAGCAGAGCGGCAATAGGCGCGGTGCATTTGCCCCAAAAGGTGTTGGCGAAGCTGCCCCCAGAAGTTGACAATCAAAAGGGCGGTAACAGCAGAGTTGAGCGACGAGTTGAACCCACCAGTGAGCTTTTTCCAAGCGATTGCATGAACCAAGACGAGGAGGGTGATGAAAGAGAAATAGAGCTGTTGCTGGCATCGGAAGAGGCCCAATGTTCTTTTGACAATTGGGGGGTGTCCCCTATGCAGTGATCAACTGAACGGTAGCAGTAGCAACAACACTGAGAGCAGCAACCAATATGCCAGCAAACTGTCCACATTATCTCTGCCGCTGCTGGAGTGACATCTGCTCCCCCCTAGCCCTTCTTCGCGATGCGGCGCCATGCAGGGTCAGCGCCAGCGCTGCCACTTCGCTCTACGAGCAACTAAGCAGTTGGGCTCGTGCATATGTTCCATTTTAATCCAATTGTTCTAATATATGTCCTTCGCGAATTAGAGTTTTCAGGGCTCTATAGGATGAGCCTTTGCCGATACCTTTAACAATGCAGAGGAGATACTGTGTGCACGAATATGCAAATACATAGATAAGCAGACGAGCACCAGGCGAAAAAATGGACAAGCAAGTGAGGGAATAAAAATTCCGCAAGAGGCAACTTTGTAGGCTGAACGTCTACGGACAAAGTGGTTACTATGAAAAGTTGCGATACAGCTCGATGACGAATTTACGAGCGCATGAGCAAACAGAAGCAGAACCGACAAACAGAAGTGTTCGGAGTAATTGGCTACCAGCAACCAGCAGGAGAGCTTTTCTTGGAAGCGAAATTCAAAACAGGTAAAGTGCTTGTTCCCCGAGTCCAGCATGCGGCTAAGACCGGTTTGGGCGATTTAGCGTCAAAGCTGTAAAGCAACAAGGGCATCTGCAG